TTTTCGCGGGGGTAGTTTTACCTTTGGAGGGAGAGAGAGAGAGGAGGCTAGTTTTACCTTTGGGTATTTTTTTATTTTAATTGCATGTTCTTTTTGACGGTTTTAAGCTTGAGGAGAACTTAAAGAGGAGACATTTGTTTTCTCCATCGCAATAAGCCAATCTCAAAAAAAAGTCAACTTTGTAGCAATACTTGTTGGAGATAGCCTTGTGACGTCTGTCATAATTAGTTGAGCTGTGCAACTTATCAGCTTGACATTTTTGGATGCGGTTAATAAATTAGTCCAATGTGTCGGATAGCACCTTCAGTTGAGTTCTATTTGTAGTGTGGCATGCGTGTGTACTTGTTCTAGCCTGAGATATATTCCAGGTATTTCTTATGCAACTTCTTAATTTCGCGCGAGACCGATTCACGGTGGTCTCTGCAAGTTTGTGTGTTTTTTGTCGAATGTTTTCAGAGTCCACAGGGGATGTGATGATCAAAAACCATAGCACAGGAGCGCCATTCGCAGTATGGAGATTTGAGCCTCCAAAAGAGCAAGGGGTGTAGTCGTAGAAGAATGCTGGCGTTGGAAGTAGTAGCATGTGGGGAGGCGTTAGAATGTGATTTTTCTTCATTTTTACTTGAATGTTCTAATTGATTCATATGAGCACAATCGGAATAAATTGTTGTTTTTCGCGTTTGCAGCATAATAGAGTGTTACTAAAATGCTAATTTTAAATAACTTTTTAAGTGTAAAAAAAAAGTGAGTGTATATGATTGCGAAGAGAGTAAAAGGAGGGTATTTGGGTGCTAGTCGGCCTGTGTTCTAAGTCATCGCTGACCGGCGATGGACCAAACCAAAGGCCTAAAATTGGTGGGAACGACTGGGCCCTCCGACCACACATTTAGATCTTAAGAGCCCTCGGGGGCTGTAGTTACTCTGTCAGGCTTAGGGGCTGTTTGGTTCGTTTACATCACTTTCCATAGATGATTTTCCTTCACTTTCTTGTGTTTCCTTCACTTTCCTGAAAAATGTTTCTTGTGTTTGTTTCGCCCAAAAATATGTAGTGAAAGTACTTTACATCATTTTCTAGTGTTTGGATCAACTTGAAAAAAGAAGAAAATATGTAGTGAAAGTACTTTACATCATTTTCTAGTGTTTGGTTCAAACTAAAAAATTAAGAAAACTTGATTGTGGTCACCATGGTAAGATTACTACCCAACATAATAGTTGTGCTCAGAAAAGGCCATTATTTCATTATCTGCCTCACCATAAAGTTTATAAAACAATGTTGGCTGCAATATATTGCCTCGCCAATATATTGTTGCTATAAACTTTGGCTGCATATCTTAAAAATAGCCCATCATCATAACACGAAATATGCATACCAACCAAAAGCCAAACAAGAGTTGAAACCATCTTCATGAGAGCAGGTTGAACCCATGCACTGAATTAAAACATAGGCCAAGCATCAACATGAAACCAAAGGCCAAGCACAACACAATGCCAAGAAACAAGAGTTGCAAGATCACTATCACAACCAAACCCCAAGCAACAAGCTGCTGCAACCAAGGAAAGCACAACACAATGCCAAGAAACAAGAGCTGCAAGAGGCCAACACAACCAAACCCCAAGCAACAAGCTGCTGCAACACAAGGAAAGCACAACGCAATGCCAAGAACCAAACCCCAAGCAACAAGCTGCTGCAACCAAGGAAAGCACAACAAACTGTGGATAACACCCCAAGATTGGAGCTTTCTTGTTGAGACTCCATATATCCATCTTCATATAGAAGCCAGATCTCGAAGTATTTGATCTCCCATAAGTTACAGCATTCAAAGCACATGTTTCAACAGCTTGTTAACTTTCACTAGATTCCCCCTTCATGAGCATCAGCAGACTTACCACAAAGTGGTTATGCTGATGATTTTCTACAAGGCCTGATAGTGGGTAAACAGTCAAGCCAGCACTAGAAACACGCAAGTCCATCATGGTTTTACTTAAGAATAGTAAGTGTCATTTTTAAGACAGAAACATTGTAATTTGATGAAGGAACGTATAGCTTAATGAAAGGCTGAAAAGCTATAAAACTTTATGTTTAATTCACATGTCCTTTTGTTCTGTTAGGATAGAAAAGGCCTTTATGAGCAAGTGGTGAATCATAAAACACATAAAATGCATACCCCTTTAACTTTATTTCATCGAGGGGAAATCATTATAGAACCCCACATGTAAACCTGTCAAACAAGTAAACGAACAAAAACATCTAACAATGAACGCACATGTAAAGATTGAAAAGAACAGAAAAATGTGCATACGCTTTTATCAGAACATCATCACAGCAAGTGAACGAGGACTGATGTCAAAAAACCAAAGGATGCACACAAGGAAAGCACAACAAATTGCCAAGAAACAAGAGCTGCAAGAGGCCAACACAACCAAAAACTGATCAAGAATGCCATCATCATAGCTGACCAACAACAGGACAAGCAAGAGCTGCAAGAGGCCAACACAACCAAACCCCAAGCAACAAGCTGCTGCAACCAAGTAAAGCACAACAAACTGCCAAGAAACAAGAAAAAACCAGGCAGCAACCAAGGCCAACACAAACATGCTGTCCAAAAGCCAAGCAACATGAGGCCAAATTCCCAAATCAATTGCTACATGTCAGGTAGACAAACCGAAGCTCATAAGATATTATAGAAAATGTGCTCAGAAAAGGCTCTTTTCTTCATTATATGCCTCGCCATGAAGTTTATAATAGCAATGTTGGCTGCATATACTGCCTCGCCAATTGATTACTAGTATAAACTCTAGCTGCATATCTTCAACAATGAAGCCCATCATCATAACACATAAAATGCATACCTCTTTAACTTTAATTCATCGAGGGGAAATCATTATAGAACCCCACTTGTAAACCTGTCAAACAAGTTTGCATTAGCATACCAAGTTTATAATTTAACAATAAAGCCACGACTGAGATGCATGAAAATGATGAAAAAACAGAAATAATTACGCTCATTGACCATAGTTTAATACATGAAAGTTTAATACATGTACCATAGTTGTGTTTGCAAAATGATGAGCAATCATTAACCACATGAACAAACAAAAATAATTACGCTCATTTACATACAAAAATAATTATACTAGCATTGTTACAATTAGCTAGTTTCACAAAAATATCCCAAAAGCATCGTAATCCGAGCAAAGGCCAACATTCTAATCAAGAGGTTGACTCTTCATGAACTCAGTCAACGCCTTCTTTTGCATAATAGTTGGCCTCCCCATAAACAACCTAGCTTGTGATTCATTCTCATGCAATTGTTGATAAAACTTATCAAGAAGTTCTATGTCAAATTCATCATGTGCAAATATAGCTTGTGCCAACTTCTCGGTCCAATGCATACTCACCATGCGCATAGATGAGGTGAATTGTTTTACCTCATTTACTATCTCACGCATAAGCACCGTGTCCTCACTAAACCTAGGCTCCTTTCCTTTACGTTTCTTTGACCCGTCATTTTTAGCTTTGTTCACACTAGAAGATGGATTGGATTTTGAGGGCATAGTTGGACCCTTCGGTGGTGGAATATCATCTTCATCTATATCAACATAGCTAGGTGTGTTCTCCTTTGGCATACTAATATCATCATCATCATCACCAATATTAAAATGTGCACTACCACCAAATTGTGACAACACATCTACCGCATAATCTCCTTTTGCAACATCGTCTCCAATAATAGTTGCGAGGTCTTCATAATGTTTCATGGGCTTGTTGATGTATTCCCTAAGTTTAGAACTATTCATACTCTTATCCTGCATAGTTTAATGCATATATCAAAAACATATAGGACAACATTGAACAAAATTAGAAATATTTGTTAAGATATGAACACTAGAAAATTGTAAATACCTCTAGCCATCTATCAAAGCAAGCTTCATCCATAATCACCATCTTCTTTGCATCATCCCAACCGGCACCATTAAAGAGAGAATACCTTGAAATAAGGATAGTATAGAGGGTTGCTAAGGATCTCCTGTGGAACTTCATTCTGTGCTTGTCTTAAAAAGCGTGATCGTATGAGGCAAATTGCTTCTAACACTTTGTTGAAATACCTACTCACAGTCTCGCCAGATCTAATGAAATGTGACCTAATACTTCGATTTTTAGTTTTATGCCCCAAAATATTCAAAGTCATAGCAAGTTGCTCCTCCACTGTAACATGTCTTGAGTCTCGTAATAAATCGTTGCTCCTCAATATCTCTGCAAGCTTCATAAAAGCACCACTTCGCATTCTAACATAGTTGACACAACTATCACTAAATCCATTATATATGCGATCCAGGTGTTGTTTTCTATTTTGATATTGTATTATTTTCTCTTCACTAGGACCTGCACGTATAGATCTACGTCTACTTTGCATTCTCCTCATGAATACCATAACCATAACCAAGACAGATAGTACAGCACCCGAACACATATTAACTACGGTTTCTTCATCGAGATCACCATCCATCTAAAATACAAACGTCATATTAAAGCAGATAGTAACAGTAAATGAAGATGGTTGTCTAATTATATTGCTAAGGTCCTACTTACAAAATGAAAAGACAAAGCTATTAGACTTGGGTTCAAAAATATATTTGGAAACTAATGCAGACAAAATGTAGTTCAATTTGAAATATGTTATTTCTGGTATTATATTTAGCCAGGCATAGCTTGAATTTGGGCTCAAAATGTAAAGGTCCTTTTTCTTTTTGTTTTTGGGGTGGGAAGTGGGGGTCAAAATGACTAATTCCCTTTTCCCGTAGAATTTTAGCTTAGTATCTGAGAACCAATTTGGTTTTCTACTATGTAAATATTTATTTATCCCTGTTCTTCTTGTCTTTATTGTGATTAAAGATTCCCTGTTCCTATTTCAGGTCCTCACGGAACCAAAGAATGCTCTTGGGAAGCAATACAAGAAACTGTTCAGCATGAACAATGTAGATG